TATATAGTGTCTTTTTCATACCAATATTAACCACTTTACATAAAAGTTATCTGGAAATGTTTTTGGTATGTCGACTGTCTTTTATCTGGCATAAGGGCGTATACCAACGGAAACATCTTGGTACCAATGAAAGCATGGATAGTGTATTGGTAATAAAGGGTTGGACAAATAGCGAAGGTTCCGTCGCAGAATAGGATATCGGCTGCTGCTAGTTGGTCGAGATTTTCTTGGGTGTAGAATACTAACATCTTATTCTGGTATTCTGCATGAAGTTTTCACCATTTTTTTTTTTATAACATTGAGGCAGTTCTACATCACATCGGTTCTTTGGTATAGTTGGTAAATTTTGGGATCTGCTTCTGAAACCCGTAAATCTGAAAAAATATCAAAAATATAAAACTATTATATTATATATATCTATTGTCAATATTTACTAACTTTCTTGGTATATATAGTGGAGTAGTGGATTTTAGTTGGGTTTTTTTTTCAAATGTTGATCTATTTCACTTACTGTTAATTTCTTCTTTGTAAACTGCTGGAATTGGCTTAGAATCTGCTTTAACCGATTCTTTCATTGCTGATAAAAACATGTCAACTTTTAATTTGGATGGATCAGCTTGATGATTATGGATGTTTCTGTAGGTAGTAACCAGGTCATTTCTGGTATTGCAAGTAGCAGGGCATTCTCGAACAGTACAACTCCAGTGATTGGTGGCTCCTCTTCTTGTCTTAACACTAAACTTATAATTATCATAAACTAGGCTTCGAGTACCTCTCGAGTTTGGAATGAATCTAACGTTTACCTGTACATTAGCCATTTTGGAATGACATACAATTTGAACTTTCAACTATTTAATAAACTTTTATCATAAACAGTGTTCATCGTAATTAAGTATAAAATTAAACTGACATATGAACGAAATATCAGACAGTGATTTATAGTTCACACATGTCATAGGTTAAATTGAACTGTTCATGCAATAATTAAAACAGAGTATAACTCATTAATCTATAACTAATCCCTCATCCCTAATTAGTAGGGTTTTCATTCTATTACAAACCGCCATTGATCCATTGATCCGTCGATCTTAAATGCAATTTTTCACCTGTATGTTACTTATACATGCCGAGATTAATTGTGATATATTTTTTATCTTATTCTGCTCGTAATATTGGTGCAATCTTTGATAGTTTTATGCTTATGGGAGCTCAAGTAAATAATATTTGTAAACTGTGCTATTTTAATATCAGAAGTAAGGTAAAATACGTAAATTTGTAACTGTAGAGGCCACTAAGTCACTTGTTAATTCTCTGGTCACTTCTCGATTAGATAACTTTAATTCACATTTAGTTGGTTTACCTTTAAAGCATTAACTTTGATGTACAAATTGTCTTTACATTTTACTTATTTCAATTAATGTAATCAATGAAAGAGACATTTTAGCAGAGCATTTAATATTTGGAATGATACACTTACATAAATTCATAACTTCGCTAAACTAAAGAAATTTTGCAGAACCATGCCTCTTTAAAGCGGCATTAGGTAAGATCAGATAAAGAGCTGAGAGTCGAATCTCGCTATAATAGTTAAAAAAATAGATAATGAAAACAGAACATTTCGAAAATTTCTGTCAAATTACTTCACTCTGAGCCAAGATATAATAACAGGCAGCCTCGATTGTTGTTAGTACAGTTTTTACCAAAATAAACAATGTCTCGATTATACATTTCTACTGTAACCGCATCCATCAGAAATCCACAAAATATCGCAGGCATCCCATGGCATCGAGAGTTCATTATGGTCTTGGTAAGTTAATTAAAGTCTAATTTATAATCTATATAACATTTCAGGCCTATAAAAAGATTTGCAATATGCAGATTTAGCTCTTGCATGATGAATGTTTCAGTGCATTGCTAGAATTAGAACGTAATTTGATATAAAAAATTGTGTAATGTGATGGCCCCAGCACTGATATTAAAGTCTTTAACTCAGTATCATCTAAAGTCTTTGACATTGAAAACACGAATTATTTGTCAATTTAAATCAACGTGGATGCTGTGCTCTTACCGGGGAAAGATGGGCTTCTGATATCCAATATTTAAGACAAAATAAACATTTTACTATTGGTACACGAATCGTGTACCATAATGCCTTTTCAGCGCTATTTGCAACAAGAGTCTCGAAGAACGAGGGTAAGCATATTCCACTAGTCAGTTCAAACGGTGACCTCATATTCTTATCTGAGAGTGTGCGCAATAAATAATGTCGGTGTCGACTGGAATAACAATGCGCTATTCGATTGAGACTTCTGGCGTATATCGCCGAACATAATTGATTTTAAACACGGAAACGATCAAATGTAAATCAGTTTATATACATTCATATTACATTATTAATGTTACGACCCATTTGTGTCAATTTCTATGTCCCAAATATTAGTGATTTAGCTCCTTTAAGTTTAGTGACGTCTTAACCCGTATTCCAGTACCCGTATTCGAAATGAAAAGAAATGAAATGAAATGGGGTTTAACGTCCTACTGTTCTGCTCCTATACCGGGCTAATGAAGATGGGCATACGCCATACAGCGTGCAGTGAGGGAAATTTTGCCCGGGGAGCGGCACTATGGCCTACTCTTATATCAAATTCCAACTGCCAAGGGATCTTTTACATGCACGCCAGTGTATACACGGGTCCTCGGTTTTTCGTCCCATCCAAACGACTAGACAGCTGTCCTTAGCGCCAATAAAACCTTATATTATCACGAAAATAATTGTTACCTTTATATTAGAAAATTACATTTTAAGACATATTAATGCAACAGACAGGGTTTGGGGCGTTTGGAAAAGTGGACCATGAAAAATTTATGAGAAACATTTTCTTTTTATTTGCTGTAACAATAATTATAGTTTATCCTATCATCTTGTAAGATCTGGGGAAAATATATGGTACAAAATTTTATTCTGTGGTGTTTTTCATCACAAGAGTTCCACAATATATTGGACTTAAAAAAAAAATCATTTCTTTCTTTCCAAACTTTCTTCTCAGACCACAAGATAAAAAAAAAAAATTTTATGCAAAAATTTCCTCTGACTTCCCCACATATCTGTGTGGTATCACATTCCACAAGATTTTCGACTAAGAATAATTCTGATAGAGTGTTTTGGGTCTGTGGTGTTTTTACCACAAGAGTTCCACAAGATATTGGTCTTAGAAACAAAAAATCATTTTTTTCCAAAATGTCTTCTCAGACTCTCTATATGTCTGTGTGGTACCACATTCCACAAGATTTTTCAATTATCAGAATTATTCTAAGTCGAAAATCTTATGGAATGTGGTACCACACATGCACATAAGGAGGTCTTAGAAGAATTTCTAGAAAAAAATCCAATATCTGTTGGAACTCTTGTGGTGGAAAATACCAAACACTCTATCAGAATTATTCTAAGTCGAAAATCTTGCGGAACTCTTGTGATTAAAACCCAAAACACTGTATCGAAAATCTTGTGGAATGTGGTACCACACAGGCATATAGGGAGGTTGGAGAAGGAATTTTTGGGAAAATGATTTTTTTTCTGAGTCCAATATCCTGTGGAACTCTTGTGGTCAAAAACACCACAGACCCAAAACACTCTATGAAAATTATTCTAGGTCGTAAATCTTATCTTGTGGTATAAAATACCACAGACCGAAAACACTCGAATCCGGGTGCAGAACCCTTTTTTTATTATTATTATTTTACTGATATACTTTTACATGTCTTTTATATGTTGTGGTTTCTTTACAAGTGTACTGAAAAACTTTGACTTGTCTTTTATGGTATCTTATAAGTTTACTAATATACTTTTACATGTCTATTATATGTTATGGTTTTCTTTGCTTATACCTTATTTTTTTTATTTGTAAAGAATCTATTCACTTGTTCGAATTGTATCACTGTAAAAGCGCCATAGAGCAACTGTTTCCAGATGGATTTTGGCGCTATATAAGTTTAATAACTTATTTAAATTATAATAAATTATATAACTCAAAACGCCAACATAGAAAGTTAATGAAATTTGGCATATGCATACCTTATGCATCTGTCCATTTGGTGAATTAAAGATCGTGGAGCCACCAGAGCTAGTTTAGAAGTTATTGTGTGCGCAGTGAGCATACCCTAAACCGATTCCCCCATATTTTTAGATTGTTTACGGTAATATATCTCGAAAAGCCAGCATAGGAGCTTTCTGGAATTTTTAAGTCTAATAATTTATTCATCCCTTGACTCTGTGAAATCAAAAATTAACATTTTGCCATCAAAGCTTGCATGGGTGCTTTGTGATGCAGCGTGGGCGTACCCTTTGTTTATTGAGCTCCCGAACCTCGGATCGAACCCGGGTGCTAGGAACTTTGCGATTGCGATGATGAAACTGGAAACGTAAAAATCTTGGAGCCACCAAAGATAGTTTAGAAGTTATTGTGTGCGCAGTGAGCCTACCCTAACCCGATTCCCCCATAGATTTAGTTTGTTTACGGTAATATATAACATAGGTGGCTTCTGGAATTTTGCTGTCTATAGTTTATTCATCCCTTGATTCTGTGAAAATAAAAAAAAAACAAAAAAAACATTTTGCCACCAAGGCTGGTTAGGGTGCTTTGAGATGCAGCGTTAGCCTAGTGTGTGATATTTTAGTATGTTTACGGTGACAGTTTGGAGTTTTTGTTTGTCTATTACATAAATATATAGCCTACTTAAAGTGTTGTTTTATCATGTAAAGCTAACAATTATTTTCGTGTTAAATATATAGCTTTTTATTGGCGCTAGGAATATGTTTGTTAACGCTATTTCGAATCCGGGTGCTGATATACGGGTGAGAGATTCTGCTCGGTCTTTGACTTTACTTCTAGCTAGAGCGCTGGATTATCCTGACTACGCACACCTACTTTTGTTTTGTTGTTTCTAATAAAATGAAATAAGCGCGAGTTTTCATTGGTTATAGTGTCATGTGATCATTTAAACCAATGAAAATTCTTCGCGCCATCTTAGAACTGGAAATTCATGGAGGATTTGTGGAAATTATGTTCCCCACAAAGTTTTTTCGTCAGCAATAATAACGTAACTCTGTTAATTAGAGAATGGTGAGTTATTTGACCTATCGTACCTTTCAAAAACACCCAGTTCTGTATTTTAAACTGTACTTAGGCCTGGCTCTAATAGTAATAGGATGGGTTGGATGGCCGAATGGACATAGTAATAGTATTGGTAATGGTTAGCACGTGAGCGATGTATCATGATCTAGGTCTGTCATTGAGCCAACTGGCGTGGTTCCGATTCCCCGGTTGTAGTACGTGACAAGGAGTAGGGTCGCATGTCCAACCGCGTGGGTTTTCTCCGGGTCCTCCGGTTTCCTCCCACGCATAAAATTGAAATAAAATTGAACCATGTCATGTGTTAGTCCCGAAATGACATAGTTTGTGTCGAGTGGATGTTAAACCCCATTTTTCTCTCGTAATATTAAAACGTCACGAGGGTGACAGTCAGCGGCGTCAGAGTTGTCCAAAAAAAAAAAAAAAAAAAAAAAATCATTCCAAGGTAAGTGTTATGTATTCACATACATTTTATTATGTGTTGGCCTATTAAAGTGGTATGGCCTTATTAATACGAAATCGAGGTTGAGGAAAGATAACTCTCGAGTCAGGAGTTGTTTGTTTTTCTTGCTGTGTCGTTGAAGCGCTCGAATAAGATGTGATTGTGATTTTGCTGTAAATACCTTATGTCTTTGTGTGGTTCTCAGAATACAATTAATGGAGATGATTTTGTGTATTAACTTGTTTGTTCTACCACCATTGTGTTACACCCCCAAATACACAATATGGTGGAGATGCTAAAACTTGTTGCTGACTGCTGTTGAATGATAAATTTCTCAATGAAACCACGTGTTTTTTGGTGTTGCCATTTCCTACCTTTGAAGGCCAACAATCAAGTCATCCTGTTTATAACATTGTTGAGTACCTGCCTATCGTTTGCTTGATTCCCTACCTGTGTAAATATGTCGACCACATCGATGTACCACTATTCGTATATTAATGATTTTGAACAGACACCTGCCATGTATCCAACTTCACCAGTACCATCTCCGCTGACAACTGGGCCACCATTACTGACTCCTGTTCGCTCAACTCAACACATTGATAACCAAGTACCAATTCCCTCTAGCTTACCAACAAAACTTCATGACATCAGTATGGTTTCAACCTTTTCCGGTGAAGAAAACCCAACATATTTTTTAGAAGAGTTTGACTCGTTTTGTTTACTTCAAGGACTCACAGATCGACAGAAACTTGCTGCTTTCCATTTACAGCTGAGAGGTCCAGCCCGTATTTGGTATTTACATTTACCTCCTGCTTTTAAACTTTCTTGGCAGTCCTTTGAGAAGGTGTTTACTTCCAAATATACAGCCCAGGTCAATTTTGCCGATTCCATAGTTTTCCACCAGCCTTTTTATTTACTAGCCAACCAGTCAATAGATCAATACCAAAGTTTTTTGATTGAGAAGTCAGCCAATTTACACAAGAATGATCAAGAACTTATGTCAAAGTTTATATCGGGCTTACCTCCTAAATTAGCTTTTTTTGTAAGAGCCGGAACACCTACAACACTTGAACATGCCTACAATGCTGCTAAGATGGGTGAAGCCTATGGCTACCGGGACAGTTTTGCCAATTCTCAGCTGCCACCAGGCCATATTCAACCAAACGTCATACCGCCTCACATACCAATTCCTGATTTTTCTCAGCCACCTCCCACCAGTACCGGTAACAGTTATCAGTTTTTACAACAACAAATTAATGATTTGACAAATCTCATACAACGTTCTCAGCCATTTCAAGGCCCTCACCAAATCCAACACCCAACGCATTATACCAATGTACAGCAACCAACCAATACTTACCCACCATCATCTAAAGTTTGTTATACTTGTCATGGTGTTGGCCATTTTGCCCACAACTGTAACTGGACACATAATGGATCAATCCGCCCGGATCTTCGCTGTTCTACGTGTCAACAATTCGGTCATTCCGCTAATTGTTGTAAACTTCAAAAGCAGCCGGGAAACTTGTTCCGCTCAAGGGCTCTAGAGCACAACCCCTTGAGCTCTGCCAATCTACAGCTTCAAGCTCCAGTGCTCCCCAAGTAAACCATTTTAAATATCTACCACTGAAATTTAAAACTCTAGGCCTCCCAGTGACCATAGCTGGATTGTTGGACTCGGGCTGTTCTGTCAATATTATTTCTTCTCATCTATTCACCAAGTTACCAGTTACCAGTAAATCTACACTTACTACAACCGATACTCATCAACTTACATTAGCCAATGATCAACAGGTAAAAGTACTTGGAAGTACTTATTTAACATTTTCATCAAACTGTGGTTTTCACAGAAACATTTTATTTTATGTGTTAGAAACTTTGTCACAACCAATCATATTAGGTACTACATTTATGGTTTCGGCTAGAATTAAATTAGATTTTGGTGCTCTTTCCAGTCAATCCAACTCATATAAAGTGAAATGTGCCAAAACTCTTGTTTTACCAAGCAATACAGAAACTGTTATTTGGGGCAAAGTGCCACAACATTTGTCGTATGGTATTCAAGGCATGTGTACTCCTCATCAGCAATTGTCCCGAAAGAATGTTTTAGGATCTCGAAGTGTGTGCCTAGTGTCGTCAAATCGAACAGTTCCTCTCAAAGTACTCAACTTAACCAGTCACCCCATAACCCTTTTTAAAGGATGTGCATTAGCTGACTTTAACATATTCGATGACTCCTCCAAAGTCACACCTATTCTTTCTAGTACTGATACTGCTTCACCTCATGTTCATGAATCAACAAATAACACACCACCTTTTGTTAATAATATTAATGATTCACATCCCAATTTTTTTGACAGTCTCAACTTTTCCAATACCACAGTCAGCCCTGCTGAATTACCTGTCTTGATGGATTGTTTGTACTCATATCAAGATATTTTCATTACTTCAGAAAATTCTGATTTAGGACTTACCTCAATTGTTGAACATCAGATCCATTTGAACCCTGATGCAAAACCAAAACATCAGCGACCTTATCGCTTACCACCTGATAAGAAGGAAGTATTACGCCATCAATTAGCTGAGCTTGTCAAGCAGGGTATTATATGTCAAGTTAGTAATACCGATCATCTACCTATAACCAGTCCTATAGTATTGGTTTCGAAGCGAAATGTTGATAAATCTGAATACCCTATTGGTTCAAAAGAAGCTAGTTTATCACAATATCGTTTTTGTGTTGACTTTCGTTACCTCAACTCTCAGACACAAGATTTCAACTATACTATCCCAGATTTGCAAGAGCTAACAGAATCATTTACTACTACAACACCTAATTATATAACATCTATTGACCTAAGTAGTGGATTTTTTCAAATGCCATTGTCTGAAGAGTCCACTAATTATACAGCATTTTCAACTTGCTTTGGAACGTATAAATTTTTACGTCTTCCTATGGGCCTCAAAACCTCACCAAATTCTTTTCAGCTTATGATGGACAAAATTTTACACGGTTTGACATTTAATTCTGTGTTATGCTACCTTGATGATATCCTTATTTATAGCTCAACATTCGATCAACATATCAAGGATATAAAAGCTGTTTTTGATCGATTACGTACAGCTGGCTTAAGACTTAACCCGAAAAAATGTGCTTTTGCTCAACAAAAGTGTAAATATTTGGGACATGAAATATCTGCTGCCGGCATAAGCCCACCCAACGATCATGTGAAGATTATTCAAGATTATCCTACTCCTAAAACTCCCAAAGAGTTGCGCAGATTTCTCGGAATGTTAAATTGGTTTAGGAAATTCATTCCCAATTATAGTGCTCTTGCTACTCCTTTGCACAGTTTATTAAAGAAAAATGTGTCTTATAATTGGGACGAATCGCATCAATCAGCGATTGATAAATTAAAAGAGACATTGTTAAATTCCAAAGTATTAGCTTTTCCTCGCTATGACCTACCATTTTATTTAAGTGTCGACACTTCCAGTCTTGGTATCGGTTATATGCTATATCAAATCCATCCAGAGTCAGACTTTAAGGACAAGTTAGATGACAAACAACGAACACGAGTTATTAAATTTGGCTCGAAAAGCCTTTCGAAATGGCAGCAATCATATGGTCCTACTAAACTGGAACTTTTGGGCATGACCTCAAGCATTTTGGATTGTGCTCCCTATTTACGTGGTCGTCATTTCACAGTAGAATGTGATCATCAAGCATTACAGCCATTATTTCAAAAATCTCTTCGTGGTGCCATCTATGATCGGTGGTTAACCATTCTTCAGCAATTTAACTTTGATATTAAATATAAACCAGCAGCACAGATGACTGTTCCTGATGCTTTGTCCCGTTGTTTCGATAAAACTGTTAAACATTCCGATCATGTCAGTCCATCTGAAGATGACCCTTATTTTCCATATATTCCAGAAGCTGTTCCTAAAATAACTTTGCCCGGTGGTGTAGATTTTCCAAATTTGTTTTGTGCGGATTCAAATGCTGAATGTAATCGTGTTTTTGTGGATTATACTGATCAAGACCCATTATATGATGCTGACACAGAAGATTGTGATATTGATGAATTTTTAGTTAATAATGTGCCTTCCAATTATGAACAATGTGCTGCAGTACATAATTCATGTATTCCTTCAGACACTTGTGAAACTAGTGATAATCTAACTCATTTCATGCCGTCCACTACCGACTGTTGTGATATTAACTTTAGTGATTATATACCTGTCAGCTCAACTGATACCGCACCTATTGATTCTATATCAGTTGAGAGTATATTGTTAATGAAACATTTTAATTTTAGTCTTTCTGCTATGGCTGAATTACAATATAGTGATCCATTTTTAAAGCATATTATAAATTATCTTGTTAAAAATGTTTTGCCTGATTCTCAGTCTCAATCTAGACGATTAATTGTTGAAGCCAAAGATTATATGGTTTTTGAAAATGTTTTATTTCATTCTAGAACTGCAATATCTAAACGTTCCAAAACTTTAAATTGTTATCAACTTGTTGTGCCTTATGTCTTAG